CCAGCTTATTCGGGCTGAAGGCTAGACTTGAAAAAGACAGCTCAAAACCAAAAACAATTGAGATGCTGTGAGGTCTGTTCTTCATAGCACTGTGCAATTTTACTTAGAGCCAAGCAATGGTGTTTTATTTGGGAACTGAGAGGCTGCAGAAGCTACTTCAGGAAACCACCTTTGGAGAAGTAGATAGTGATACTGTAAAAAAGTGTGTTTTCCTGAAACTTTCCTTCTATAAAATCCTCTCCTCAGCCCTGCAAATCAATACTCTTAGGATGCATGAAACTCAAATTTCAAATACTCATAAGTCTCTGGACAGGTTAAGTATGGTAATAGTACCGGTTTAAGACACAGAAATAATTTTTTCCTTGGTTGTCTCAGTTTACTCTTTCTTATGCATTGTTGTTTGCAATCATTTATCAAATATGTCAAATATAGTTGTTCATCCCAAGAAAAAACAAAGAAAATTTTGTGAACCAAATTTCAAAGTAGCAGGTACTAGCTAATTTAGATTACTCTTCCTTACAACACTGTACACTCTTTAGAAATCTTTAGATACATTTACTTGTCAGAATAAGAAAATGCTGCTGCAATTTGTTTGCATGCAAAAGTATAGGAAGGAAGTTTCAGTATGGCCAAAGGGATAGAGAAAATTCCACCTTTATATTTTAATCTTCTGTGGCAGATACTGTTCTTGTTATACTTCTCTCTTCTGAACAACTGAGAATTATAGGAGTTCGCACAGATTTTTTTCATATGGGTCCTATGATCACTTAGGCATAAAAGCATGACTGGATTTCATGAAATCGTCATAGAATCATAGAATCATAGAATGGTTTGGGTTGGAAGGGACCTTATTGACCATCTAGTTCCAACTCCCTGCCATGGGCAGGGACACCTTCCACTAGATCAGGTTGCTCAAAGCCCCGTCCAACCTGGCTTTGAACACTTCCAGGGAAGGGGCAGCCACAGCTTCTCTGAGCAACCTGTTCCACTGTGGCACCACCCTCACATTAAAAAATGTCTTCCTCTTTCAGTTTAAAGCCATTACCCCTCATACTATCACTACACTCCCTGATAAAGAATCCCTCCCCATCTTTCCTGTAGACCCCCTTTAAGTACTGTAAGTACATTCATTATAAGGTGTCCTCAGAACCTTCTCTTCTCCAGTCTGAACAACACCAATTGTCAGCCTGTCCTCATAAGGGAGGTGCCTCCAGTTTCGTGATCATCTTCATGGCCTCCTCTGGACTCACTCCAACAGGCCTGTGTGTTTCTTACATTGAGACACCCAGAGCTGATTTGCTGTCTTACTTCCAATAACTTGACACCATTCCTTACTATATATAGATCTGGTTGTCATTCACATCACCTTAACTGTGCAAAGGGACCTAGGCAGAAGTGAAAACCCGGCCCCAAATTGCTAAGTGCCTGGTTTGGGACTTCAGGTGAAGCATGGTCTAGATACCTATACAGAAAATGATAGATAAAAGAATCAAGGTAGTACCAAAAGTCTGGAGAAAGCAGTGGAATGTATATGGCAGAGGAAATGATTTCTTAGTTTTCAGCTAGCATGAATGTTGGGATGTCATGAACAGGGTTTTCAGAAGCCTCTTGCCCCCAACTAGTTATTCCAGTAAGCAGTATCTTGGATCTGATTGGCATTCCATTATGAATTAGGGAGGAATTTCTCCTTTTGAGCTAAACTAACAAGAAACCTGTTGGATTCCTAAGCAACAAAACTCATGTGCATGTACTGTGTGCTTCCATCTGTCCTATCTCTGGCTTTAATAACTTTGCATAAATTTTCAATCACTTTGACAACACTATAGAGGACTCGAATTTCTATGTTTGGGCAGCTGAGTAGAGGGAAGACAGCCCAAAACAAAGGGCTGTCACACAGGAGCACACTATTAAGATGCAGCTCAATAAACTCCTCTAGTTTCTCACGTTTCTTAAGACTTCAGGAAGGTGGACTCCAGTCAATGGGAATAACTTTTTCCCATGTTAATATTAGATACCTTGTAGCTGTTTGCAGGCTGTGAATAACAGAAAGAGCTAATTTCCAGAAGGAAGTGAATTTTGGAAAAGGGATACTCAAGGTTAGATGTACCTTATAAAATGAGAATGAAAATGTAAATGTTTACATCTAGGTGTGCATTTGAACAGAGATTTCAATTCAGCTGCCAAAACACAGACACAGCATTACTACTTCACATGCATCCGAGTATCTGGAACAACTATTTGGAGTTGGCAGATATGAATTGCACAAACAGGAGAAACACATAGTCTGGAAAGTCATCTGGAGGCTAAGAGAGATGTACTAGAGCATCTGTAAAGGCAGTAGACCCCTATATTTTGGCAATTTAATAGCTTTACTGAGCTGTTCAACTGATTTTTCATAGGTTTACTTTGGGTGAGCCAAAGAGCTTCTTTAACTCCGTTGACTGTACTGACTAAATTGCTATTGAGTACAGTGGGAACTTAGACACCTAGAGAGACAGACACACAGATATCTACATTATAAACCCTAGTTTAGGTGTATTAATCTACGAGCTGGATCCTGTCCCTCAAGTACCTCTGTTCCCTAACTCTTTAAACAGAAGCAAATGAAGCGATCACCAATGAAGCAAAGACTGTATACCAAAATGACAGTTTACCCACACTGGATGTATTAAATGTTTGAAATAAGAGAGGGGTCATGAAGATCTGTGAATTATTGAAACTGTGGTCTGCTGCTTAAAATCTACCTGTTGAGACTGATGTTCAGTTAACAGCCCATCTAGTTTGCTGTGACCTCTTCTGCTGTGAGCAATTCCTGCTTCATGCTGTACGCAGACTGGATGTGTTCTACGTGGAAACACAATAAACTGGGGACATCTTGTCTTCTAGCTTTCTCTCCTCACCACTATCTTCTCTTCCATCTCACCCTCCGAGGCTTCCCCTGCTATGTTTTTCTGTGTAACTACATGACACAATAGGTGTAGAGAGGTAATAAGGAAGAAAGAGAAAGGCTTTCATTAATAGCAAATTTGTGGTGAGAACTGGGATCTGAATTCATGACTATGGTATCAAACATGAGTAGCCAGATAATCAGATTACATCTTTGGATAATGACAATTCTCACTCAGGGTCTAATCAATACATGATTTCAGTTGTCTCAGAAAGCCCACCCCTCATTTCTTGTCTAGCCTTTTATGGAGAAAAATATATTTTCTATTGCAATATTGCTACAGCCAATATTAGTATATTAGTTGTTGTTTCACATTTTCTTGCTTCTATCCTGAGTTTTCATAATGAAAATACTTTTCAAATATACATACACATGATCCTTGATTTGTAAGTAAGTACATTTTGAAAACACACACTACATTTTGTTATTCTTAAGTAATAAAGTATATTAAATGGGTTTTTTTTCCTTTCTTAAAAAATAAGTTTTAAGGAAGATAATTTTCTTTATAAACTCAAGTACATGTAAAGTCGGCTAACACTTAAGGCACTGGAGATTTTTATTACACTACCACAAAAAAGACTTTCCTGGTTCCCACTGCATCTTTTCACTTGATTGTTATAGGGAACTGTACTTTTCTGTTATTTCCCCTACCCTGCTAATCTCTAAGACTGAGGTAAAACCCACTGACACTCTTTCTGGTTAAATCAAGCTATAATGAAATACTTTCCTGGTGACTCAAACAAGTCTCAAAGGAAAACACAGTAAAGGAAATGTCAGGCATGCATCCTTTAATGTTTTTCTTTCCTGAAATCTTGCAGTAGATCCTGGATGACTCCACAGCACTGCCCACAGAGTAGAACCCTTAAATAAAACATCACAAGTGTTTAAAACTGAAAGCTGTGTGCAGAGAGGGGACAGAACCCTATCAAGGACCAATACAACAAAAGATCCAACAATCTGATCACTGTTCCGAGTTTTTAAATGTATTTCTAAAGGTCTTCTCAGTCTTGTTTTGGAACGGTAGATTGCATTGTTGTAAAACACACATGGATGGATGGCTGAAACTGTGGTCTGCATACACTAGGTGAAATGTATCTATTGACTTACAAGCTGGCTGCATGTGTCAAAATGCAATCCGGTATTTTTGTAATAATAGCTAGCAGTCATAGTTGTAAATTATTTATGGAGACTATTCAGTGCAAACAGGTTAGTGCACACATCCTCTTCAGCTTGACTGCCCTGGTTTTAGATCACTCAGACATTCAACTCCTTAGAGATCTGCTCTTATCATTGCAAACCCTAAAAAGGTACCAAAACTGCAGTCGTTTCAGCAACTCAAAGCAGCTCAGCCATTTGCTAAAGTTCTACCTCAAGGTTCAGTGAGTAAACACCGTTTCTGCCCACCTCTTTCACACCCACCCTGGCCCTAGCGATGTAAGTTAATATCAGACATGAAGAGAAATCGATCTCTAGAGCTAAGACTCCGGTGTGCTTTACTATCTTTGTGCAGAAACATGGAAGAATGTACATAGCAAAGGCCACCAATGATCTTAACACAAAGTGACATTTCACTAATGCTGTATTTCAGAAGACAGGAAAATGACAGCCATCCAGTGAGTACTTCTGCTTAGATTTAAATGAGCAGAGCACCCTACTGAAGTGCCGTACATTGATTTTGCTATGCACACAACTATTGAATCTCATTAGAGTTTTGCCCTCACCAGCCAATTTCAAGCAGCTGCGCCTACCCTACACAATCAGCAGACTAGGGGTTACTGAATTTTATGTTTGAACAACATGGTGCTAGACAGAACTAATCTGTCATGTATGGAAAAATCTCAGGACTTGACTGCTCTGACATATATAGTATGTTGAAACATTTACTATTAGTCTCTCTCTAGGACAAGTTCAGCTAGCAAGAGCTTTGTAGGGGCTGCTTTTGCTGCAAGATATTCCTGATAATTCTGAATTTAAGGTAGCAGTTCAATTTAGTTCTGCTCGGTCATTAATTTGCAAATGGAATAAAAGTTTAAAACACATTAATAGCACTGACCTCTACCAATTATAGGTGGATTTTCTTGCAGACAATCTTCTGCCTCAGTCTCAGGAATCTGGAGTCTGGCCTTTATCAATCATGACACTGGGCAAAGAAAAAATCCTTGCAGTCAAATTTGCAGGATGAGAAAAAGGGGTCAGACAACCTGTACAGAGACAACAGACGTTATTTCTTTTCAGACCTTCAGCCTCCTTGTCTGTTTTTGTGCAACTTACACCATCACCAATTGTTCTAGCACGGTCCCCCATCGGGTCAAGAAGAAAGTCCTTATTGACGTATAAACTGCTTACAGACTAGCCAAAAGTAACTCCAAGGTATATTCTCAATGAGAAACCTGCCTGGGGCTGAGTAGATTAAGCAACTGAAATCAGCTCTTCATATCCACTCACATCTCAGAGCTCTTCTTGTCACACGACTAGTCTCTGGGGAAGCATACAGCGCTGCTTATGTTCAGCAAAAAATGGGCATTGTCAAAGACATGGCTTGCACCCATGAAGGATGGAAGTGTGCCCAATTAAATATCCACAACCCAGCATAATGACAAAGGGTAAACATGCAGAAGCAAGTAGCTCTGTCTGCGAGGAGAGGAGAATAATCACAACACAATGCAATATGTGTGTGACATGCAGCAGTGCTTGTAAAAATGTGATATAGATTTACTAACTCCTGTGGCATGATAATGGTCCTGGGTCTCAAATGGACCCCATAATAGGAAGTCAAAGCCCATTCATGCCAGGCATTATCATTACATTCACTTTTTCTCTTTTTGTCTCTTCTTTTCCTGGTTCTAACAGTAAAACTAGATCACTGAGAATATCAGCCAGAAAGTCTGACTGGGAATGCATGAAGTCAAGTAACGCCCATACCACAGGGTTAAGAAAGAAACATCTCTCTCTAACTTTCTTTTGTATTACACCTTCAATATAGATGGGACAAGGAGAAAAACCAAAAGCAAAATCAGGAAAAAAAATATGTACAAATAAATATATAAAAATAAAATTATATAATTTAAATTTATAATTACTGATATAGAACTATGTCATCCTCCAGTTAAAGGTAGCTGAAAAAGAAAAGCAAACCCAAAGCCCTGGATGCATTTTGCAGGAGTTTGGGAGGGATCCCACAAGTCATAGGAAATTTCTAGGGCAGTTTTTGGATGTAATGAATATAGTTCTTCAATATTGTAAAACTGAAACAAGCAACACACATCAGAAACATAATACAAGATGTTTTTTCCTCATTTGTACACTGTTCTGGCTTTCCTTACCACACCAAACAGCCCAACTCTGTATTCCCAATGAACCACATAATTCCCACTGTCTGAGTACCTGTTCATTGATGTGTGTCAGGCCCAAAGCATGGGAAAAAAGCTCAATACAGGAGGGTGTGAATTCAAAGTATACCACACAAATGCTTTATTGTGAGTACATCCACCTCATGGGTGCTGAATTATCTGCAATCCTTCTTGAGAAAATGGAGATACCAACATCTTCTGAGGGAGATTTATCCCAGCTGAGATAGTAGCAGAAATTAATTTCCTTCTGCATGTGTCAGATGGCAATTCATTCTACATATTATTTTGAATTGTCTTTGGAGTTGCCCGCGTTGTTCTGTCCCCTACAGAAGGAGATTCAGTGATGAACTGAATTGTTAAAAGCTGAAGTGAGATGAGAACATCTCACCCTAGTGATTCAATGTGTATGAATGGAAATACTTTATTTCAACAGAAGGGGACCATTTTGTTCTTATTCTACCTTTGAATTTATCTCTCGTATTTTTGTTTGAAAGAGAATTTCTTTCCAGTTGTAAAATTAAAGGCAGTTAAACGATTTTGAAGAAGACTAACTTCAACCTTCCTATGAGCTTCCCAATAATTAAGGTAACACTGGCATTCAAAACCATTTTGTAGTTCCTTTTGACAACTTTACTGTGTATTATTATTTTTTAATTTTTACAGGACACATGATACTGAAATAAGGTATAACTTTCTAACTGAATTTCAGTACTTTTAAACAGAGCGATTTCCTGCAGAATTAATGGCTTGCTCTTGCTTATATCTAACATTAAGTAGCAACAAATGTAAACACCTGCATAATTTGCTGACACTGCATGTTTAGACAGACTTTATAAACTATAGAATATATTGGACATTTATGAGGCAGAAACTTGGTAATGTGGAAAACTGGTACCATAAAAGTAAAGAGTTCTTTATATGGGATTTTGAAAATTAGATAGTGGATAAATTTAAGTAGTGCTGAGGTTAATTAGTACTCTTACAGTGAAGGTATAGTGTATGCTCATCTAATTGTAATATTTAAAGACCAGTTTAAGGAAAAGAAAAAAAATATCCCAAAACACTGAGAAAAATATGGAAAATGTGGAAAATCTAAGACAACTGAAACTTTATCTACATTAAGTCTTTCAGTCCAAGCAACTCAGCTCCCAGTGTTCAATAGCATTTTCTGGATATAGACATGTATATATGTATACATGTACATCAACACTCATGTATGAAGGTCTAGGTATATATATAATAATTAAATTTTTGTTGTTGCACAAGGAATTTATATTACGTTGAAGCAAGACCTTACAGCAGCACTAATGCAGAAAGCTAAAAAGGTTAATATCCTCAGTAGACAGCATCATTTCATCAATAAGAGAACTATTCAATGACCCTGTATTGAAGTGAACTCAGCATAATCAATTAGCTTTGTCAAGTAAACAGATCTGTCCCTTTGGCTGCTGCGTAACTTGATATTTCTTCCTGTTCTTACTGACTCCATGAATGGAGAAACAATATACCCTGAAATTATACCAGCTCTGACTGAGGAAAGAGAGCTATTTGAAAAAGTGCTTCACTGAAAGTGTCTGTCATTCTTAATCAGAGGTTTTTCTCTTTCAGTAGAGAAGGGCAGTAGGACAGGGCTCAGTCCAGCATCACAGAACACTTAAGCAAAAACAGTATTTCCATATTTTGATGAATTAGATGCAAATCAGTTGGCAAGCAAAATAAAATAACTAATGTGCCCTGCACAACTTGACATAGCTGAGTAATTATCTTCACAATGTACCATCCTTCGCTTGCTTTAGAATTTTTCTTTCTCTTGTTTTTGTTTTTTATAAAATAAGAATGTAATTACTATAATGCTAATTTGAAAGTAATGATTTCTATACACATTAGAGGCTCTGAGACACAATCTATGATAGGTCATGAGATAGTGGTCTCAGACTGGCCTCGTGTAGTTTGCATTATGAAAAAAAGCTTGGGAAGGAGAGATCATTACTCTGCATAATTAGCAGGCTTAATTAAAAAATGGCCCGAGATATCAGCTGTAGCACCAGCTCAACAAACCCCCTAAGGCTTGTTCATAGATTCTGCTGCACTCTGATTATACTAGTATGAATCTAGGAATAGCCACCTGGAATTACTCTCTCAGATGGGCATTTGCTAAGTGCTAGTACACTGTTATTAAATCAGTCTGTTTGGCACAATTTTGTAAAATGATACAGGCTTTTAGACCTTTAGCAATGTGAAAAGAAAGCATGGCCAGCAAGGTGGAGTAATTCACTCTGTGGGGTTTCCAGCATTCCTCATTTCTAATAAAGGAGGGCCTTCATAAATGTGTTTGTCCAAATTACTTCAGTTTCATAAACCCTAATCAGTTTGGGTTTGTCAAACAAAGCCCAACTATGACAGCTTAAAAAAATTAAATCACCTCAGGTTTGAATATCTGCATTTCAAATAAAAGTGGACTGCAATTTTGATTTCTTTATATACCTCAGATTTGAGATATTCCCATAAAATCATATTTAAAGTTTAACACCTCTCCTTCTAATATTATTTTTCATCCATGTTGGACAATATATCATGCTTTCTTCGGAGGTACAACAAAACCTTTCTTGCATACTACTGACCATGTAAACAGGCCACTCATTCTAGACAGACAATTGTTTTTTTCAGGGAACAGATAGCAGCAAGGAACATAACTGGACATGTTAGGGAGTGAAGATTTTCCTGTGCTGTTAAAGCAGAGATTGGTTTGACCCAATCAGAACATGATTATCCAAAATGGAATGCCACTAGGACATTGGAGCTAGCAGTGATGATTAAAGGACAAATCCCGTTTGGTAGGTATGTACTTTATATATACCAGCAGTTAAAAGGTGAAGTTGGGATCACAGCAGCAAGGCAGACAACTAAGGTACTTTTAAAAAGGGCTGTTGTAGACTGATTCTGGGGGATTTTTTATTACTATAGCTGTTATTTTAACCTGTTTAATAAAGTTTACTACTTCAAGAAGGAAAACAGAGAGACTCTTAAAAGTAAAGGCATGACTTTGTGTTCTTTCCCCCAAAATGCCTGGGGTTGTGAACAGGCAAGAGATAGGGTAACATCCCTCAGGCCCAGTCCATGACAGCTGGACACTGCAGCACCCTGATGGCAGCAGGAGGACCTCCATCGCCCTGGGGCAGTTTGGACACATCACCTCTCCTGGAGGATGCCTTTGAGTGCTGGAGGTAGGGCACTCTCATCGGCACCACTCTCACCCATGGGGAACCTGTCCTCTCCGGAGACCCATTTAAGTGCAGATCCTATTAAGATATTTACATAATATGGCAACATGCTTCTTTTTATGCTGAGCCCTTCCAGATGATTAGTCAGGGAAATCCTTAATATCTAATCAAGAAGCTTTCTGGCATGTTTAACATCTTGGGAGCATATTTTTATGTTTCTTTAGGTTGAAGTTATCCTCCTAGGAACGTATCTATCAGAAGAAGGAAGAACTAAGGAGTATACGTGTCTGTGGGGAGCAGACAAAAGTTTCTATTCCATGGGAGAATCCTGAACTAATAAAGTCCTGAAAGGGAATGAAACCTCTCACAGAATATATTCTCTACTGTTGAGTACAAATAGTGTGCGTTTCAGCAGGAATGACGGTTTCCCTATTCCTAACTAAAAGGCATGAAGGAAAAGTAGAAATCTCCAAGAAAAATGACTGAAGGATAAATCAATACAAGGTGAAAGGTCAACAAGCAGCCCGCTGTTAGTCTGCCAAAAAGTATTTAATATGTTCACTTGATAT